TGATTTTTTTGTGAGCGTGACCGGTCGGCAAGAGATGCCCCCTTCATGGCCCCTGATCCGATTTCTGGTGATTTGAAGGGCCGTATTTAATATGTTCCTATTGTAATCGTAATTGTACTGTTTCATGGACTTTTGAGCTCGAATACTGTTCTTTATTTCCACATATTTCATTGCACAAGTTTTGTCTAATACATATATATGTTTTGTTTATATGTTTTGATCAATTTTTACAGCTAAAGAGATATTATTGAAAAAAAATGTTGGAAACGTTAGAATTTAATTTTTTTTTTTTCCCTTGGAAATGAGTGTAGACCTTATGCCACTCACTTAATGATACCGTTCGCAAGGACAGACGTGGACAAATTTCGAACAGAAAGGCTTACTTGAGTTTCGATTACGGTGAAATAGATTTAAAAATGAGGGAGCATATGCAAATAATGTTATATCGTTTATGAATAATTTTTCTAAAGGTAGTTCCTGATATAGATATCTGTAACTACAACCTGCTTGATTTGAACGATGACAACAGCGTTACCAAGGAAGAACTGGATATTCTGATTCAAAGCACAGGACGAGTGGAATTGGAGGAACTATATGAAAGCCTGGACCAGAATAATGGTGGGTTCCATTAACAAAGTTTTCTTTATTTACATCAAATGCTCGTACTTTTATTATTAAATATTAAAGTCAGTCGACATGTTCTTCGAAAATGTATAATTTTTTCCCAGAATTTGTCGCTGAATTATTGCTACTTAAACAAGTTAGATGGGGAATAGTACCTTTCTCACAAAAAAATGAAGAACCGGACCAGACATTTAGTAGATACCAGAGGATGTAATTTCTTATATAATTCTTATGGTTAATCTTTGGAATTGCCAATTTACAAGTTTTGGTGTATTCATATTTTAAAACATATTGAAAACAATGTAGAAATCACAAGAGGAAAACAATATGAATATTTTGTTATAATACCTAGGTTTACAGAACATATGAATGAGAACATGCCATCTGACCTTAACAAAGGAACAATTATTACATATATGTCATCCAAGAATTTTCTTCGGAATTCTTTTTATTTTAATTTTTCTCTAAATTGGTGTTATTATAATTGCACATTGTATAACTTACGTTTTACCAAAATTTAGCAACGATCGAAATTGTTTCTGTTTTAAAAGTAATAATGAGAGTTTGAAAAAGTTCTTTAATTTATGTCACTGTGAACGCAGATTCATATGTAATTTCTTGAATTATAGCTTTGTCCGCCAAAAGTTTTGGAGATATTTATGATAGATTTTTTTTCATGTTTTTGTACAACCAATAATTTTGAAACTTTATATAATTAAAGGATTCTTTCTCTATTGTGTATGAAAAGGAATGGCATCAGATAAATGAAAATTGTAATTTTCGCTGTAAAAAACAAATGGTTATTCTGTTTTTGAGTCAAGTATAGCAGCGTTTGGCTTAGTTCGATTTGACATACTGCTTGCAGTCGATTCATTTTCCTGGTATTTAAAGAATTATTTTTATGATATAAATTAGATATAAGCATCAATTAGTTTCTCTTCAAAGATTTGTCAAATAAAGAATCTGATCCAAATCCCATGAAAACAAAATGATTCAGAATTTGCTAATAATTTATTGAATTTCAAAAAAAAAAATTAAGAACTATTTAAGTAATAATAAAAAAAAATCATGAAGGATTCCTGTCAAATCTTCTTTGTATATATATATTTTTTTACTTATTGTCCTTTAGAAAAAGAAAGAGCTACCGTTAGGAAACAAAATTATACATGTGAAAAATCATTTATAAGGTTTAAAAAATGACCATATTCACATCTTAGGAAATGAAGGCGATTTCTTTCGCAATGATGAAATCTTAAATGATTGTTTCTTTTTTTCCTTCACAGACGGTATAGTAGCACAGGAGGAGTACATGAAATTGTATGAAGATATCTGCAATGGAGATTTGGAAGGTCGGTTTATCTCGTTTGTATAATCTCTTACCTTTTGATGTTTTTTTTTTTAAATTTAATTTTGAATAATGAATAATTTTAAATTTTGATCTGAAACATTATAACATTTTATTGGTTATATACTTCGTTAATTTTATTCCCCAAAAGGGAGGGGGGGGGGCATTTTTTGGACCTGTCGACCGGTCGGTCTTTTGGTCATTTTACTAGTGCCCAGCTTTGTCTTTGCTGTAAGACAAATTCTTCGTCAGTCTTGCCTTCTTCATTAAGTTAAAGACTTTTTTCATGATTCATGTTGATTTCTAGATTACAAAGTAAAATATAATTGGTCAAATGATACAGTATTTTGACACGTGCTGTAACTAGGGGCTCAAACAGTATTTTATACCATTTGCATTATATACTAGCTACTACATGTAGTACTTCAAATGTTATTCCTTCCAAGAAGTAAATTACCATTAATAACATTGAAGTCTGAATGGGATAAAACATTATTTGCATCATGTTTATCCCGACTTTAAGATGACCACTTGATTTAAGCATTTATATTGACATTTCATACTGCAACACCAGGAGCATATAAAGTTTCTCAATATTTTAGGAGCAGATACCCAACAAAAGGACGAATAAGAAGTCAGCTGAAGGACACAAATTAGAAAATTATTGGAAGATTTTCAAAGTTCAAGTTTTTGCTTAAATGAAATATTTTTATTCTTCAGAATAAATTTAGAACATACTGCCTAGTTTGTATATCTTTCATATATAAAGCAATACCCATATACATGTACATCCCGCTATTCCTTTAGAATTATGCCTTTATGATCCTTTAGAGTCAATGAAAGTAGTAATAGATTACTGTGCTTATCCATTAGAATATTTCATACCATATATTCCCATTTTATTTTCTTCATTTTTTTTGTCACCTGAATCGCTTCGATAACCAATTGTTTTCTGTTTTGATCTTTCGTCGTTCGTCGGTCTTGAATTCTTGAATATATTTTCATAATTATATGTTGCTGGATTAAATTAAACTAATTTTTGTAAACAGCATTTAAGGATATAGAGAAACAATAAATTTAAATTTTGTATTCTCTGTCATTATGAGGCATGAAAAATTGGCCAAAACTATCAATAATTTCCTTAACGTTTGGACATTTAGAGGAAGAACCAAATTTTTTTGCAATACTGTATGTTACAAAATTGTAACAAGCACTAAATCATCTGCAAAAGTGTCAAATGACATAAGATTCAACCCATTGATAGGGCTAATACGGTAAGTATTGAAAAATACAACTTTGAAACTCTTCTTCTTTCTTCACAAACATGTCTCAGACAAACAGTCTGCAAGATGGCAATGTCTACTTTACCTATTACCAAATTCTCACAAAAATCTTCTTTATTCCCAGACTTTAAGGAGACAATCTTCATTCACATGGTAATGAATACAGAGTCCTCACCATTTTTAATTTTTTAAGTCACATTAATCTGAGTTACCAAGGTGACTGTTAAGACCCATAGGCCTCTCTATATATGCATGTTAATTGAAAAATAAGTTTTTACAAAAGAAATTATTTTTTGTTATTAATTGCCTTTAGAGGAAGTTGATAAATATACTTTTCGTATACATATGTTAAAAATTTGGTGGTATATAAATGTAATGAGTGTTTCTAAAGATGAAAACGCACGGCAAAACTGGAAAATCCTATTTCGTGCGGGGGAAGGGGGGGGGGGGGGTGTTGTTACTTCTTTGAAGATTAGAAGCAGAAAATAGTCATTTTATTACCAATTGTTTTTCAAATAGGAAAACAAATAAAAAAAATACACAATGTACTTTATCAATCGCATATATTGAATATAACATAAGATAAAAAATATGGGTCATTTAATCTATTTAATTTTACCAGGGTGACCCTCTTGGAAAGAAATGTCCTGGATCCGCGCCGGTTTTTCCTTCTTCTTTTTTTTTGTGAAAATTCACATAAATATCAAATAAAAATAAAATATATTCAAGTTTGTGTGGCAGTTGACAGTAAGCAGCTGACAGTTGGCAGTAAGCAGTCAGCAGTTGGCAATAAGCAGTTGGTTGTCGTATATGGAATTCTATAGGTTTTCACTGGAAAACATGAAAGAAATTTGTGTTAAATCTGCCCCCGTCCTTTAGAAATTTTTTTTAATACCTTTAACCCTGTAAACCTTGAGTAATTTCCAAATTACAATGCACCACTGTTTACATTTCATTTTTCCTTTAAAACTATTTGAAGTTACATCTAAGGTTAACAAAAACACATTTTTGTCATGGTCGACCGGCCGCATAAATTATACATGTACAAAACAATCTTTTGAAGATATATACCACAACTTTGGGATTATCAATTTTTACAATAAGTCTTTGCAAAATTTGTAAGAAAAAATAATTGTAAAGATGTGGAACCATCTAATTGTGTAGTACTTTGTGTAGCGATCTGGTTGGGGCTTATCAAAGATCTAATTTTAATTAGGTCTTAAAATCGATAGATCTCAAGTCAATTGTATGAAAAATACTAAAAAGTGTTGGTCCATACAACCAATAGAGAAGTTTGTGTCAGTTTGTATAAAATGGTATAATATGACTTAAAGATCAAATGGGACAGGTAGAGTGCAAAGTGTTAACTTCCATTAATGAACATGATGAAATATAACATATGTATCTATATGATAGACTAAATTCTTGTATGCACAATGACACTATCCTACATTGTCAATGATCATCTGAGAAAAAAATTACAATAATTTTTTTCAATTGGTGTATGAAATTAAAACCAGTTCCGTATAAAAAGAATTGATCTTTCTTAACAGCAAGGGGTATTAACATATTCATGAATGAGTCGGGATCGTGTTTCAAATAATTCTTGAATGTAAACACTGTCCCTTTCACAACACGTGGAGTATTTGAAATTCTTGGGTTATTTGGTGAGTAGTAGCAGTCTACTGTTGTTTATCTGATAACATTCGACTGCTAACTTTTCCCTGATCTAATATCAAATAAGTTTGATGTTCTTCAAGATTTTGTATTGACTTAATATGTTGGTAAATCCACAAACCTAATCACAGGCTGGAGCATCTAGATTTTTGTCCGTTTGCATAAAGTGGATAAAACGTGTATAAAGGTGAAATATAGAACAGAGTGGATCAATCTGTTATTGAAATTCGATCTTTGATTCGCACCAACTAGATCGCTACACAACATTTGTGCAGCGATTTAATCTGAGCGGATCAAAGATCGAATTTGAATGGAAATGAGTGAATACGCCTTCTTCTCGTATTTAACTTATACGCATTTCTTTGTAACACTTTAGTACAAAGACTTAATGTGTTGTATTGCAACCTCGTCTTCTTGATTTTATTTTAATTGATATCCAACATTCCAACGATTACATCTGTTTGCTTCGACGGCCTTGCGTTCATATATAAAATAAATATATAATTGCATATATAATCTACACTCACATTCTTCATGTTCTTAAACGGAAATCAAAACACTACTTAGAAAACTCTAATCATGGTGATGTTTTTCTAACTATTCCACGTACAATCTATATTGAAGTATATTCAGCTATCTAGAAATAAATGAAATAAAAAAAAAACAAATAATGCAAATCATTTTCAAAAAACATCATTAGGCTTGGGGTTATTTATTTTTGATGAGTCACTTTGTGTCTGTGTTACGTACGTCACCATGGTCTTTTTCTTATCATATTGTATGAAAAACGTCAGATCGTTGCATGTAGTTGTGCAATATTGAACGATACAAAATTCTTCACAACTGTCGAGATAAGATATTTTAGTCTAACAAAGGATCTAAAGGTAAATGCGATAATATAACGCAATTTTTGGTAATACATATGACAAGATATTTACATGAATTTATTAAAAAATGAATAATGAATTGATTGCATGTTTATTCATATTGACATGTAAGCATCCTCGTGTATTGAAGATTTAAAGAACTACGTGCGCTAACTCTTGATTCCTGCCTACATTTTACACATATTTAATTCAATATTAATGACAATTTGGCCATAAAATCTTTGTTGAATGAAAAGATCTGTTCGATTATAATTGATTAATAATATTAATACCGTGTAAAAAAGTTAATTATCCCTTATTCTAGCTTTTTAAAAAAGGAGGGAAGACAATATTTTCCGTTGAAACCGGACTTTACACCTTTACCGTATTTATGTTCCCCAAACGAAGTTGGGGAACATATTGTTTTTACTCTGTTTCTTATTATTATGTTCCCCAAACGAAGTTGGGGAACATATTGTTTTTACTCTGTTTCTTATTATGTTCCCCAAACGAAGTTGGGGAACATATTGTTTTTACTCTGTTTCTTATTATTATTATTATTATTATTATGTCGCCCCGAACGAAGTCGGGGACGACATATTGATATTGTACGCATGTTTTTTTTATCCAGGCTGTTTCTCGGAGACTGCTGGGGCAATCTTCCTGAAACTTTCCTCAAAGGACGATCACTGGTTGTAGTTGTGCAGTGAGGTCGTTCAGTTCCAATATGTCTACGGTTGCCATGGAAACCTGTAAAAAGCGACGAATTTTGTCCGAGAGTGTTCTCTCTGGTCCCTTAAACGTTCGTAATGAAACTCTTTTTATTTTAATGATTAGTATCTGTAGTTGTGCGCCTTGCGTTTAAAATTTTCAAATACTCGATTATTGCCATGGAAACCAGGGGAATGTTAAAATTCTTTAATTTCGATTTTCTCAATAACTACTCAAGCAATCGTTTTGAAACTTTCAATGTTAATTCCTTGCAATGTGTCAAAGTGATTTTTACTTTTAAAATAATTGTAATGAGTCGCTCACAGTTGTCATAGAAACGAAACAGAAAAAAGGTTAAGATGTACACATGTGTTCTCCAAGGTCTAGGTCAAAGGGTCAAAGTTCTTCGTGTCCAATAAGAGTTCTTTTCACAAGGATTACATATTTGAAATACGAAAGCCCTAGCCCTTACCGTTCAAACGTAATGTACTATGTTCAAGACGACCCCCCCCCCCTTTTGAAGCGCACTGCCAGTTAGAATACACATATCTAACATATACAACTTACAAGTAACGTTTTAAAAGTTTCATTCATAAAATTCAGTTCTCCTGATGTGATTTCATAGTTTGCCAACCTTCATTCTTCTTCTGTCTTGTCTCTAGATTTTATAATTATTTTATTTTATCTATATATAAAATAACGATTGTCAACTGCATTTATTAGCATTTCGCATTTTTTTGTATATCTATAACTTGTATATTATTAATTTCATTAGATAGTGCAAGTATAAATTAGAAAATTGGTACGTTATTTCCATAGTTTTTATTCATTCATAAATCCTAGGATCCGCTCCTACAAGTGCGCTAAGCCTTGATCACTACTGCAAACAAAACATTCATCTCGCCGAAAATGTTCACGATCCCGCTAAACTGAGAAAGTTTACACATGATTTATCATCTCATAAGAAACATCAGCCCTTTACAATGCAGAAATGCTCGAATTGAAGGGGAAAATTCAGGAGTTATTGATGTGAAAAATTCAGGAGTTATTATGTCGCCCCGAACGAAGTCGGGGACGACATATTGATATTGTACGCATGTT